TGTTTGCTATGGCTGGCATGGCATAGCTAGGCATGGCATAGCATGGCTGGCAGTGGATGGCATAGCTTGGCATGGCATAGCTTGGCATGGCTGGACAAGATACTAAGATACATGTATCTTAGTATGTTGTTGTTTCCCCACCGTTGGTCCCTCTTGCGCCTCGTCTGAGGGGAGCCGGGCTTCGGGCACAACTGCTTGAGCTCGCGGATGTATGTGCAGCGGCTCTCCCCGCTGTTCCGAGCCAAGTGGTGCAGGTAGTGCGCGCAGTCGTGGAGAATGGTACCTTGGAAGATGGCCCACGTGCTCGGCGTGTGCTCCATCAGGGCATCGCTCTGTTCTTTGGGCAGGTTGTTAAACTTGCGACCGCTGGCGAGATCGAAAGCGTGCACCGCGTCCTGGTACGAAGTCGAGGACGGCTGCACCCCGTTGAGCTCGGTCAGAACCGCTTTCAACACTGTATAATTCTGTGTCAAATCCGCCATCACAACTTTGACTTTACCATCGGCGTCGATATTATTCTTCAGAAACACGAGCTCTTTTCTGGATTCAATCAACTGCACGCCATCACTTCCCACTTTGCACAATGCATTGAGGAGGACATGTGCGTGTGTGTCACGCTCCTGTTCGGCTGAGTCGGCCATCTCACCGATGACCCGGAGAAGAAACAATGATGCTTATAAAGAACTGACAAGACACCTGCGCCAAAACGGCAGTGGGAAGAGGAGGGGGGGAGGGTGTATTGCATCATCGTTCCGCCCGCTGGAAAGACACTTGATGGAACCCTCCTCCTCCTTCTCCTCCTCCTCTTCCTCCTCCTCCTCTCCCTAGGGCGGCGGTGCGACGAGGAGCGGTGGTGCGACGAGGGGGCGGTGCGACGAGGAGCAGCATGCTTGCCGGGCGCCCGTTGCAAAGCGCAGTGGCGCATGGCCATGCCTTCGAAAACATGTCGCGCGGGTTCCGGCAATCCGACGGGGAGACGAGATCGGAATGTGCGTGTATGTGTCCGTGTGCTTCGTGCGTGCGCGTTTGTGTGTGTGTGTGTGTGTGTGCGTGTGTATGTGTGCGTGTGCGTGTGCGTGTGTGTCTGTGCGTGCGTGTCTATATATATATGTATGTATACGACGAGGCTGTGGCTTCGATTGGATCTGGAAAGCCGTGGCCCGCCCTCCAGCGGGGCCCTTTATCAGGGAAGTCTGTCCAGCAGAACGCGGCACCTGGTCGTTTCAGCGCAATCGAGTGCTGGTCATACATGTATAAATGTATATATACATATATACAAATGTACATACCTACATGAATACGTACGTACATACATACATACATACGTACGTACGTACATACATACATACATACATTGTATGTGTTGCGTTTGTTCCTGACCTGCAGTTCCTGAGCCACGTCCAGCACAGGCAACGCGCCAACAGGGCGTGGACGAGGATGGCCCACGCCCCCCACGCCCAACCCCCCCCCCGCCGTGGAGCGCCAAGGCCCGCCTGAACCAACAGCTTAGACATCCCGCAAGGGGTCGCTGGTCGGCCCAGGCGGGTCCTCTGGCCCCTACGGCGGGGGCGGGGCCTCCGACGGTTCCACCCGCCCAACCGAGACGGACGGCTTCATTCAATCTGAATGCTGGTCTCCTCTCTCAATGTGAGTACTACTCTGCTCTCTCCCCTGGGACACGACCCATATGGGGCAGGGCCCAAACCGACGACGACGACGGCGGCGGCGACGGCGGCGACGGATCGAGGAGGGAGAACAACGGAGGAGGGAGGAAAAGGGAGGGGCGAGGAGAGAGAGAGGGAACGGACCAGGTGAAGGACGGGGGGGCGGAAGTTTTTTTTTGGGACACGATAACGCCGCAATCCGCAGGCGCGGCGCGAGCGCCGCGAGGAAGCGAGGCACAATTGCAGGACATTTCGCAGGAACGCTGCGGCCTCGCGCTGCGCATTGGCCGCGCGGTTAACCCGCGCTCCGAGAGGGCGGGGGGGGGGGGATCTCATCGACCGCCCGCGCGGCAGCGAAACGACACTGATCGCAATGCTGACACAGCATCCAGACGACGCGGGGGCCGAGCGCGCGGCCTCTCGCAATCGAGAGCTGATGCACCGAAGGTGCGGGATATACTTTACCCCTTGTCTGGCATCCTGGTCCCTTTTTTCGCGCGGAGTCCTGATGAGCATGCAGCCGCGCGCGCGGGCCGATCGAGCGCGCGGCCTCTCGCCATCGAGAGTTGATGCAAAGGAGAGCGGGGGCGCCGCGCCGAGGCGGTCGAGGATATTATTGTTGCATTGTTGTTGTGATTGGTGGTGTGTGAGCGCGTGTGATGCGTGTGTTCCACGTTCGACGCGTGAAAACCAAGCTCGAAAACATGCGTTTTTAAGATTGTCGGCGGTGATATGAAACAATTCGCATGGTTCAACTTTGGTATCAACCAAGTTAACACCTTAACACTTTTACTCACGAAGGTCTACTCTTTAACACTTGGCAGACATTTCGGATCCTCTGGGAACGGCACGAACTCGTTCAGCGGGATCGGGCCCCCAGCGCCACCAGCAGCCACGTCCGCGGCGGCCCAGAGCCGGTTGGCCTCCACGCGGGCCGCTCCCCCCATCGCCGCGTACTCCAGGCCGGTGGGCTCGTCCCTGAACCGATAGACCTGGGCACGCGGCACGGTGGCAGGGGGCGGCCAGCGCTCGCTGCTGAACACGACTCGTGCCACATCAACGCCGAGGGACCCCGTCCTGTAGTCCTTCTCGTACACATCTAGGTCCGGCGTCTCGATGATCACGCGGCCGAGATCTGTCGCCGAGCACGCCGCGCGCCTGCAGCCCAGCACCCGCCGCTGGTGGTACACCGGGGGCCCCGCCACTGTGTACAACACGAACGCCCACTCCTCCAGGGCCGGGGGCGGGAGTGCAGGTGCCGCCAGCGCGGCCATCCTCCAGGCCCGGCGCCGGCGGCGCCGATGCCGACCGTCTCGTGCCGCCCCAGCGCCCGACGGCCAGGAAGACGAGCGCGACCAGGAGGCCCCCGAAGCTGAAGGCCGCCAGGGGGACTGCCCAGCCGCCCGCGACGGGCGGCGCGGACGGCCGCGCAGGGGACGGCGGCGCACCCGGGCAGGCCCGGCAGCTGGGGATCTCTGGTAGGGCTGGGCACGATGGGACCGGCGGGCAGGCCGGCACCTCTGGGCACCGACTCGACGCCAGCACCTGTGCGAGGCCGACCCAGTGCAGCGTCTCCCGCACCAGAGCCTCGGCCAGCGCCGCTTGCATCCCCCGCCGGGGACCGCACGTGGTAGCCTCAATTCAGCACAACCTCTCGAGCTTAAATGGACACGGAAAGGTTTGAACGTCGTTTGAAGCCCCGAGACCTTCAACTACTAAACCTGCGGCCACTCTCTGACGCTGCATTGCACTGCACAGTGAAACAGTATACATATATGTGTGTACTAGAACCACACGTGCGCTTCGCGCGCGGTCAGGTTCTAGCAAGGCCCGGTCTGTGGCCAGCTCACAGCTACACTCAAGTGGGTACCCACTGTTGCCTTGAAGATGCGCGCAAGAAGTAGCAAGACTGCGGACCCAACAGGCACACATCCAATACAAGGATACATCCATACGCATCAATTCGAACTTTGGAACGACCTCTTGGGGGCGTCATGAGGGCCTTCTGAACTACCCACACGGTTTCTTCAGCAGATGTGTGGCTCTCCTGGGCCATCTTCAGGCTCTCATCTCGTCCACGTAGAAGGGTTTGGGGGCGGGCCTCTTTGGGACCTATGTGGATTCTCAGGGGGAGATTTGGGGGGCCTCTTGGAAGCCTCTTGGGGCCTCTTGAAACTCTTTCGAGGTCTCTGGGGGGCCCCGTGGGCTGCCTTAGAGCGCCCGCGGTCCAACTGACGCCTTCGGACGCCCTCTTGAAGCTCTCTGTCGAAAGTCTTTGGGCGTTCCTTGGGCGTCTTTGGACCGTCTCGCGGGCCTCCTGGGCTCCTTTTGGGGGCCTCTTGGTCCATCTTGGCGCCGCCTTGGGCAATTTTGCTGCCGTGTTGGGGGCCTCCTGGGCCGTCTCCGGGCAATCTTGGGGGCCACAGTGGCGGTCTTGGCTGCTGCAAAAACAAAAAAAAAGTGATACCAATTGTTGAGAACACCATGCGTGTTTGATACTTCTGGCCTTTCGGAAGCTTCCTCGGGGGCCTCTGGGGCTGTCGTTTCGCCGTCTTTGGCCGTCTTGGGGGCTTCTAAGGCAGTCCTGCGATCAACATAGGCCGTCTTGGCGCCGTGTTGGCGGCCTATGAACGTTCTCTGGGATCCTTGAAAACACCTTCGCCACCCCGCTCTTGACCCCGTTTTGGGGAATTTTTTGGGCCTGGGTAGCGCTGGCTAGTTGAGCCGTGTTGGGGTCTCTCGGGGCTTCGGCCGATCTCTGGGGCCGCCCAGGCCGTCCAGGGCCTCTTGAAGCTGGAAAACGCGAGCGCGCCAAAATCCTGCCACTGGGTTGTGGGTCAAAAGCCTATTGGATCCTGGTTGGGTCTATTGCTCTTGGAAACAACTTTGACACGCCCTGGGTGCCGGTTTTGGGGCGTGTCGGGGGTCTGCTCGGGGCGGGGGGCTCGAACTGTCAATGCAGGTTTCCCCTGTGGTCCCCTCTTGGGGCCCTTTTGGGGCGGTCTCGGGCTGTTTGGGGCGCGCCCCTTGGGCCGCCGCAGGGCCCTCTTGGGGCCCCCCCCAGTTGCGCAGGGACCGACCGTCCCGGCATTTGTATAGTGGTATCACGAAATGTTCTAAGAACCCAAAAATGTTTTTAGAGCAAAAACAATGTTCTTATAGCACTAACCCGATGTGATAAAACAGTCCACTCCCAGTCATGCGCGTTCTAGGAACACTTCGTGGGAACCGCGAACAGTTTTAAAAAAAAACATTGTTTGGTACGGTTATAAGAAATTTTTGTTCGGCGATGACGGGCGTCATGGGGGGGGGGGAGCGAAAGGGTGGGGTATGACGTGACGCCGCCCCCCCCCCCGCCGCGTGGCTCCAGCACCACAGCCGCGCCCGCGCGCACGACGCGACGACCGACAAGCGACGACGACGACGACGCGAGCAGCATGTAGGTGGCGATCTGCCCCCGCGCGCCTGTGTACACCACAACGCTCGCGTGCACCACAGCGCGCGTGTACACCACAACGCCTGCACACATCGCAACAACCGTGTGCAACGCAGCGTCTGTGTACACTGCAGTGCTTGCGTGCACTACAGCGCCAGTGTACATGTGCACACAGGAGGCAACCATGTGCAACGCAGCGCCTGTGTACACCACAATGATTGCGTGCACCGCGGCGCCTGTGCACGCCACAGCGCCTGTCTACACCACAGCATATGCATGCAACGCAGCGCTACCACGGCGACTGCGTGCATAGGACAGGTCGAAGAAACCTGTACGTGAGGATCTGCTGCGAAAGCGCCACGCCAAGAAAGTGCTGATAATCGAATGCGACGTTTTTTCTCTCCTCCTTTCTCCTCCACTTCCACCTCCTCCTCCTCCTCCTCCTCCTCCTCCTCCTCCTCCTTTTCCTCCTCTTCCTCCTTTTGTTATCTTCCTCTTCCTCCTCCTCCTCCCCCTCCTCCTCCTCCTCTCCTCCTCCTCCTCCTCCTCCTCCTCCTCCTCCTCTTACGCCCTGTCGTGCAGGTTGGCGCTACAGCGCACGTGCGCAACTCAGCGTGCACCACAGACTGGTTCTCGGACGGCCAATGTAGGTGGAACCTTCCGGACGCAAGTGAGAGGAGTTACGGCGATGCGGGCGCACTCCTAGCTTCCCCTGGCGCTCCCTTGTCCATAAGGATTATGTTCTGGTGTTTTCGGTGGAATCCACAAACGCTCCATTTTGTCATAATGTTCCCTTCTAACACTCTACATACAACAGTGGTGTTGTGTTGCACACTGTTGCTGAGGTGCACACGAACGCCGTGGTGCACACAGGCACTACAATGCACGCAGGCATTATGGTGTACACCGCTGCGTTGCACACGGCTGATATGGTGTACGCAAGCGCTGCGGTGTACTCAAGAACTGTTGTGCCCGCGCGCGCAAGGGCACAAACTGACGATGTGTTGCACGCGGCTGCTGTGGTGTACGTAGGCGGTGTGGTGTACACGGGCGCCGTGGTGCACGCAGCCACTGAGGCGTACACTGGCGTTGTGGTGCAGATCGCCACCTACACGTGGGTGCCACCTGTCCTCCGTCATTCCTAGGCATTCCCAGGCGCCGCCGGCGCGAAACGCGACGTCATCGACCCCCCCCCCCCCAAATGATTGCCGTCATCGGCCCGGAATTTGAGACAAAAAAAAAACTCCAGCCGCGTCCGCGCACACGACGACGATGTGCGACGAGCGACGAGCGACGAGCCACGACGACGACGACGACGACTGCGGACCAGACTCCCATGCGGAACCCTACGCGGACACCTGCGCGGATCCAGATACGCACGGCAGCAGTGCCCTGAACGCACTGGGGGGGGGGAGCGTTGCGTCATAGGGGGTCTCTAGGCGAGACGGGACGCTGCGCCACTCCTTGACTCGGGGCGCTCCTGGGGTCCACCTGGGCATGATTGCGTATTGATGCCGCTAAAAACTGCTTCTGCTAACCGCGTCCGCTTCCTCAAAGGCAGAAATGAGCTTCGACGCCTGCTTTCTGTTCCTAGCCTTACCTAAATCGCGACAAGATAACCCATCGAACCCATCGTGAGACAGTGCAGGGTCAAGACGCTGCGCCAGCCCGCCACTGGCAACGGCGCCGCCATTGCCTGGAATTTACTTGCCGGGAGAGCTCCCGCGCAAACGCAGAGTGGCCAGTGCAACGCGCGCGTCTGCAGCGTTTTGCAGCGCGCGCCGAATCTCCGCAGAGAAATCGAACTTCTCTCCCCGACCCGTGCCGAAAGTTTGATTTTGAGCCGCGAGCACCCGCGTTGCGCTACCAAAGCTGTGGCGAGATCCTCGGATGGTAATTCTTTATTCCATTATCCTTGGGCCTGCGCCTCGCCCCTTTGTCGGCCCGCCGTTGGCGCCCCTCGTGGGTTCGCTACTGGTCTCTCTGCTGGTTGTCTCTCGCGTGCATATTTCGGGTCACGATTCCAAGTTGAGTCATTTGCCCAATCATGCGTCGGATGCGGATCCGAGTGCGACTTCCCTGCGCCCCCACTTGCACTCGATTGAAACGGCGACGAGCACGCCTGCGAAATATGATTGCGCTCGTCGGGAATGCCAATGAGGATGCTACTCCACCGCAGACTGCCCACCTCCCCGTGGACTTCGGCTCTGATTCGGGCTTGTTTGGGCTCGGCCGAGGTTTGGCGAGCGTCGACGTTGAGGTGAGATCGACTGCGATCTCGTTGGAGTCATGACCCCGCGATACACCGGGCAGAAACACCAGTCCCGCTGGAATCATTGCCGACGCAATCGCGATGCACAGAAGCGTTACCACGGCACCCGTGGTCTCGCCGATGCCGGCTATTCCCGTGCGCGCCGCCATTGCCCTATTCCGGTACGCGTGGACAAACACAAGATGGCTTGAACCAAAATGGCTGCGGGGGAACAATTTTTGCCTCTTGGGGCCCCAATTGGGGGTTCTCTTTAAGCCGTTTTGGGGCCTCTTGGGACGTCTTGGGGCCGTCTGGGGAAACCCTGGACCAATCTGGAAACCATCTTGTGCTATCCGGAAACCATTATGGCAATTCTTGGCCCATCTTGGATTCCCTCGAAACTTCTGTGGATGCTCCAGAACTGCTTCTCCTGAAGACCTCTCGAGACTCGAACCCCCCCCAGAAGACCCGAGAACCCCCCCCCCCCCCCCCAAAACCTCAGGGCGCAAAGGAAGGTCCGAAGGGGGGGGGGGGGGGGCGCTGGAAAAGTGGGCCGCCCGCGGGCCCGGGACCTGCTCGCTGGGCACGCGTGCGCGCACGCATAAATGGCACGCACATGAACTGAGGACGTAGCAGTCGCGCGGACCGAACAGAGACGCACTAAAGACAAGGATACACGCAGCGACGCGAAACCATGCAAGCCGATGCAAGTCATGAAACGAATGCAATGCGCCGCAATGGCAGCGCGATTCAAGGCATAATCGTGGAAATGTCATGCAATGGTCATGCAACGCACTGCGACTCAACGCAAACCGTCGCAAAGAAATCGTTGTGGGGGCGTTGTTTGGCTAAAGCGGGTTATCGGCTGGGAGAGGAGTTTCGAAAAGTCGGTTGCCCCCAGGCCCAGGCCACGCGCGCGCT